AAAATGGCCAGATTCTCCCAGTGTGCAATAATATTTCCCGCAATTACTCAGGAAGTCTTGTCCGGCGCGTCCAAATGTGGCGGATAATACAAAGGCTTTCAGCTAGAGCCAGCTGTGGAAGAGACCTGGCTTTCTGGTGTGACGAGTAAGCAGTCACGGAACAGCAGCGACGGCGCTACCACGAAGCAGAAGACCGTGATCTGGCACGTCGAGTGCTTATAACAATACGCCGTTTAGATACCGCCAAGGCAGACTGCATCGCACATGATCGCGGATATGCCACGCAAAATCAAATCAGTTCTGTCAAAATACTACTTGACACAATCCATCAAGTATACGTACAGACGTTTGCATAAAGGTAGGTTTCAGAGTACTCCTTATTGTACAGACTTATCCTCTAGACTAAGTTCTACGCCTCTGGCCCCATAGAACATCATCATTCTGACCAGTTATTATTTTCCGCAAGACTACCAGGAAGCATATCGGGCAAACTGCTGTCAGAGAATTATCCAGCAAAAGAGGACGCATGTGCCGTGTGACGCATTTGAACTACACCACAGGACAAAGTAACACGTTCTGGCGAAAAGGCAAAATAATAAAGCACTACACACGCAAACTGTGGTTGCCTTCTAACTGGTTTGGAGGTTCTTCACCAGTAGGGTCTTCTGCCTTGGAGTACTGCAGCCCTGTGAGGATAGGAAATAATAAGCGGAAGACGCACCTGAAGTGCTTGCCTCCAGACGACCTCTCAGATCAGAGGCTTTAGTGGAAATAGATAAACATGTTGCCGAGTTTAAATCCACCGTTGGAACACTTGCGAGGATGGTCGGTGTCAGCCTTTCATGGTTCAGCTCAGCTGGTGATGGTGACGACGCTGGCAAGGGTTTCCACTCATCTCCGCTGCTTACACAATCATTTTTACTGGATGTGCTTGAGCCCTGCTCGGCATACAGTCGCTGACGTCCACGCTGTGGCTAAAACCAATCGAATGTAAGGGTAAAAAAATCTTACAAGTCGATTTGGCGATACCGATTCCGAAGCCTAAATAGAGTATAGACCTACCACAGGCTGTAAGAATTACCTTGTGACGCTCAAGCACGGTCTCTGAGTTTGAGACTTCTTCCTCCTGTAAAAAATCAAAACTAATTGAAGGTAATACTACTAATAATAATACGGAAATATACAAAAAAAAACGTACTTATCACATTACCTCATAAGGACGCAACACCCATTCTTCTTCGGTGTTTACTTCTTCCTATGAAAGAGAAATGTGCAACGACTAAATTTGTGAAAAATGTTTAAGATCCTACCTAATAGCAATTCGGACTCGAATATTTTCAGGTCACAATGTTACGAGAGGATTTTATTCAGAAGCAAATGATTCGTGTTTATGGAGACTTGAAGCTTCGCATCATTAGATTGTGGAAAGGCCGTCGATACGGAAAGAACTTTGTTCCTGTACTAGGGAAAAAAACGTTGTTCCTGTAGTAGTTTAAGTCTGCATGAATCCCAATCAGCCAAAGTGCACAGTGCTGTTAAACGCCGGATTTTCGCGAAAGTTGGTTCTGGATTTCTAGCTCGAGTAAATCCTTATCAAGACCCAGAGCGTGATTCGGTGAATACCACAGATGCAATTACATCTGTGGTATTCACCGAATCACGCTCTGGGTCTTGATAAGGATTTACAGTGTAAATGTATCATCACATTTTTTGATTAAATCTGTCCGAGCTACTGCAGGTTCAGTTTATGCTGGTCAAAGAAACCACACGCACCGTCTTACACTACTGAAAATGATTACAGCGTTTACCGCCGGGCATGGGTATGGAAAGTTATATGTAGACTCTCCGTTTAGATAGCGTACTAAAATTGAACACATTACATAGATAACTATACCAGCAGGTCGCATACCACTTTATGCCGGTAATATGCATGCGAGCATGCGCATGCAAGAATTACACCGTCATTATATCCACATATTACTATTAGGAGGGTTGAAAGAAAGCTCCTCGAGGAGCTTGGTCTGCTAAACACTGAACATACGGCACTGTTTTGTTACAGTAGAATTTTAAAAAATAAGTTCACAGAAACGTTCCCCACGCGAAACTGAACATAGACTGCCGTAAACATACGAGTTGGACCTTGTGCAAGGAACATGGGAGCATAACTTAGGTAAGATGATGAGCGCGTTTAATGCGATAGTGCGATATATATCGCACGTTGGGAAGAAAAAACGGATATTTATACTAAACCACCTAGACTGCACAGATGAAGAGAACGCACTCGTTTCATTCCAACTGGAAACAGAGAACTATTGGGCCGTTGCATGAGTTAGGATGCGATGCTGCATCGCAGTAAATAGACGATTCCTTTTCGCTGCCGCAAACCGAGCAATGACTATACAACCGCAACACCCAACATACTAACTAAAGGCCATTCGATTTTGCCAATTAAAAAAATTTGTAGAAAAGACAAATAAAGAATAAAAAGGGACGATAAATATTCAAAAGAAGATGAAAGCGGCGAAAATAAGCAATATACAAAAAGTTGACAATCAACAACCAGCATATCGGACCGTCTAAACTGCTTTGTGAGTTGATGACCGTTGGTGCCCGTAGTGAGGTGGCTGACATCCGGAGCGCTGTAAAGCACTGGACCTGTTCACCCTCGAATTTTGACCCTCCAAAGGCGACCAAATCATGATTTACAAAGTGATCGCTTGCAGCGAAATCCCGGAGATAGCACAATACTTCAAAATGGCCGTTGACATGCCTACGCGCGAACTCTGCTTCAAACTGGTGGTACAAAGAACCGATGGTCTCCCGCACATCTATCGACTCTCAAGGCGTGCCGTGAATGCATGGAACAACCTGCTTTCAGATGTTGTAGCTGCTGACACATTTGCCGTGTTCGAGAAGAAATACGACACCTTATTCGAACAGTGATCTGTACCGTTCACGGGAGTGCTCCTGTCTTGTTAGGGGGATCGGTCTGAAGTAAAAACTCCCATATGTCCTGTGGCTGCAAAGAAGGGTTTCCAGGGATCTTTCCCTACCCTTTATTGATAAAACATGATGAAACATGATCCTGCTCATCGCCGAGACTACTGTCACCACTAAATTATATGACTGAGGAAATTGCACGTCAAGCCTTCCGTGTATGTTTGTGAACTCAATCTGCTCATAGCAGCCACCAATGGCTTATCACAAACCATTACTAAGGAAACTCCTTTGCACCTTAGAAGAGAAAATGGTCAATATCATGCTGTTGGAACAACATCAGGATAGGTTCACACATCAACTGCCAGTTATGAAGGAAACAACAAATGCACGTGTCATATAAATCATTGGAAAACTCGACGGCGGAGTTTTCCTCGAGGCAGCTGAGGAGACGTTTGAGGCAAAAACACTCAGCACTTTGCAGACCCTCACAACATGCAGCTGCTCGCCTCTACAATGCCTGTGGCGGCAAAACCCGTCGGCCTCTATCCTCTGGTTATCTACAAAATTAGAGTCTTAGAAACTTAATAATTTATAAGCGTAGTCAGCGAGAGACATATGCAGTCTGCACCACTGCTTTAAAAAACTTTTAGGACTTTTAATCTTATTTGTTCT